GAGTAAGTGTATAGCAATCATTGGTTGAAGCTAAGATCAGGCTTGGGGCTGCCTATCATATATCATATCATATCATATCATATCATATATCAAATCCTTGAATGGTTTGCCAATGCCTACTTTCTGGGCTTGCACACAATGACTGGCTACTTGTGGTCTTCAGTTACCGCAGATTAGTGCCCAAAGAATGAATGAATGCGTTTTGGAGCGGAAATTGAGAAGGGAAAGAAATGGTGACAAACGAAGTTGTTGAACAGAGATGCGGTTAAGGCAAAGAACCTGTTGGTGATAATATGAAAAACACTTCCTTCTATTACAGATTTCAGTAGCAGTAACTTCAGATTGGTAGCAGGGCATATTTTAAGAATTCTTCCATGAGATGTGAATATTGCCCATCCCCAATTGCTCTTTGAAAGTGGGGTTGAATTACCATCTTGAACCACTGTAGTCTGATATGCATTTTGCTTCCTACAGGTTTTATTATCTTATGGGGTAGTGCTTATGTAACATATGAAAGGAGGGGAAGCTAATGTGGTTTTGAAGAATCCAGCAAATGTTTATTATACCTGACTGTTACATTTCAGATATTACATTCAAAATCTAAAATCAGGCTGGACTGTTATTAGGCTATTCAGTTACAAAATGCAACTGTTTTTGATAGAATACCATGCTTCAAGTGATCCCAAGCAAGATGGCATCTGAGACCTTTTAGACCGTCGTGTTGCAGAATGAGTGTACAACTGTACATTGATGGGCAAAGCTTGCAGGTGACTCACTATTGTGCACCTCCCAAAAGGCAGATAAAGAAAAGATTGTCACCTGCCTTTGGACAAGCTGCTCAGTTTTATGTATGTTTAATGTTCCCAGAGGGAGGAAGAATTAATGTGAATGAGGTGTTTTTTTTTTTGAAACAAAATGGGCAGGAACAGAAGCAAAATGGGTACGTAACCTACATTTGAACTGGTTACACTAATTTTGATGTTTATTGACCAATAGAAGTTCTACTAAAACAGCTTGCAGATCAAAGTTCAAAGGTAATTGGGAAGTTTTTGATGCAGTGAATTGATTTCCACGACTGCTTAAAGCTTAATGATTAAACAGCAAGGGCAGGAACCTGTCAAATGAGAGAGCGTGTATTTCAGCTCTGAACATTCTGAAGGTAGTAAAGCTGACTGTACAAAAGGTGTGAGGTTTTGTTTTCCAAGTGAAGAGAAGTGACTACAACCGACTAGAAGTATTTCCACTGCCAATTACCTTTTAGTGTGAGTGCAAAAAATATTATTCACGTTGAATGATTTTTAAAAACTTTTCTTTCCAAAGTGCCCTTCATACCCTTGATGTCAGACTTCACATCAGTCATCACATTTTACACTTGTGCATCAGTTCTAATGATAGTCTGCCTCCAGGTTGCAGTCATACAGAAGTGGGGACAATCGGATGTAGATTTTAAGGCAGTGTTGAGCTAGAGAGTTGCAGCAAGAATAAAGAATTTAAGGGGAAGTTGATGGGCTGTGTCAGTGAGAGAGCTGATGCTGATCTGATTTAATTGGAGTGGAGGCTGCATAGGGACTACAGAGGGGGCCCTGGCAATTTGCAGAGACTCATGAAAAGTATATTAAAAAGCACGTGCTAAACTTTGTTTACTGGAACCCAGTGTAGCTTGAGCAAGATCAGGGTGACAGGTAAAGCTGGAATTTTATTTGGCTGAGCTTGAACAGGCATTCGGGAAGTCGGGGAAATAAAGCTGTGATTTATGTAGCACCTTTCACAACCTTGAGGTGTTCCAGTAAGTTTTGCAACCAATGAAGCACTTTTTTGAAATGTAAAATTTATTGTCCCTCTTTGATTTTAAACTTCCTTCGGGTTGTCTCCTTTGAGTTATTGTTGTCTGATTTGAAATATCTTGTAGTGTAAGAAACGTGGCAGTTAATTAACACACAGCAAACTCCCTTGGGTGACAATGAGTTAAGGCAGATAGTGTGTTTTTATGATGTTCATAGAGTGATAAATATTGGCCAGGACACTAGGGAGGTAAGAAAAGAGGGGAGTGGAGAGGTTTGGGGACAGTATTCCAAGCTTCGGGTCTAGGCAGTTTAAGGCACAGATGATGTGATGGAAATTATGGACAGGTCAAGGCCATATGGGAAGGTGCAGAGATCTCTGAGGAGTTGTGGCCAGGAGATTTCAGAAACGGGGAAGGACAAGGATGTAGAAATATTTGAATGTAAAGATGAGAAGTTTAAAACCGAGGCATTGCCAGGTTGGGAGGCTGTTTAGCCCAGTCAGCATGGAGCAAAGAATGTGGACAATCCATGTGAAACATTGTTGATTGATGCTCCTTCCCAATACATTGGGAATTTACCATTTCGGCCATCCAGATACATGTCATCCTCAATATTGTGCCAATTGATCATGAGG